AAAGAGCGCTCTAAGACATTGCACATTAGACGTGGTTTTCACATGATTCCCCGGCGTGCCAAAAAAGCAAGGAGACGTCAAGCGACCGGAGACATGCGCTGAGCCTCAGCCCTTGGCCACAGGCGCCTGCTCCGTGCTGGGCAGCGGCGCGTCCGACGCCTTGACGAAGCGCACAGAAACGGAATTGACGCAATGCCTCTCGTTGGTCTGCGTGAAGCGCTCGCCTTCAAAGAAACTAGAGGCAGTGCGCGGCCGAGCCGCCGAGTAGCCGAGGTGGCCGGGGCGGCGTTCGCCTTCAAAGACGTGGCCGAGGTGGCCGCCGCAGCTGCTGCACATGATCTCCACGCGCCGCATACCAAACGAGCTGTCCACTTCGGTCCGGACGGCGCCTTTGTAGCACCGGTCGAAGGCCGGCCAGCCGCACCTGCGCCGTGCGGGGAGCGTGAGAGGGCTGTCAACCCAAATCTGGCATACACCCACGCAGCGCCGCCACCGCCACAGCACGCCACTTCGCCGGCGGCCACCGCCACAGCGCGCCACTCGCCGGCCGCCACACGCCCGCACGCGACAGCCGCCGCAACCACTCGGATAGTGCGCCCGCTCTGTGGCTCACCCGGACTTGAACTTGCTCTCAGCACTGTAGAGCGGAAGACCGCAGCCGCGGCAAACAAAGTGGCCGGCCTTGGGGTAGAACTTATCGTACTCCCCTGTGCCTGCGCGCTCTGTGCCCTTTTCGCGAAGTACATTGTATTCCTGTGCGTTAAGTTGCTTCTTCCACTCAGCCTCGCTCTTCGCCATCGCTCCGGTGTAGGCGCTGGGTGCAGAGGTGGTACGTCCGTCCCGGAAACTTCAGTTACCCGGAATTGACCCCATCCAAAAAAATCTGGAACAGCGCTCCGCCGGCGCCGCCACAGCTTGCCGAGCGCCGGCCACAGGCCTGCCTGCAGCCCAGCCACCCGCCGCGGCGGCAGCTAGTCGGTTCGGCCTTGACTCGCGCGCGCCTTGGCTTGTGCAGGTGATGCCCAGAGCAGCAGAGACGACGCCGGCAGCCTCGTCTCGACCTCAGAGGCTGTCGGCGTGACCATAGATCTGTGCTCTATCCGTCGGTGGTTCACCGTACACGCCTAATATAGGAGCGGCTCTCGCGTCGCTACGCGCCGCCGAAGGCTGTCTATGAGGGCACACCCGAGGAGGCGCCGATCTCAACCTGCGTGCGGCGGTGATCAGGTCACAGGTATCGGCTGTGACACTGGAGAGTCGAGAAGCGGCACTGAGATGCCTTGAGGTCATTCCAGCGACCCACGGAGCACTGTCTCAGTGCGCAATCACTCTACTAGATCCCATCCTTGCCGGGCCTCTGCGAATGTAGGTACCGAGTTCATGCGTGCCCAGGTTACAGGCTCATACTGCCTGGTCTCCAGCACCTATGATCACCGCGCCACGCCGCAGTCGACGACTTTTGTGTGCGCTGGCCGCACTCAACCGTTGAGTCGCGGTGTATCAGTCTGACCACACTCGGGACCGCGTAGGCGATGTGGGCGACTCTGGCCGTCCTGCATATGACCGACCACGACCCAGGAGGAGTGCACACGAGACATATCGTACATGGCTGGCGTTCTCGCGGCAGCACTATCGCGTGCGGCCGAGTGCGAGCTTCCGTGCCCGGTGCCAGACGCACTCGGCGCCAGACGTCCTCGGGAGCTCGCAGTTTTGCCACGGCAGTTGCGATCCGGGCGATCAGAGAGCTCCGGCAGCTCAGGGGATCTTGTCTGCTCACCTGAGGTCGGGAGGGTAGCAGCGGCGAGGCCATGCGCCAACGTGAGCCATCCGTGTGACGATTGTTACAGATTAGTCAGATTTGCCGTGACCGCGTTCCGAGGTCACGATTTCCGCGTGTTCTCGTGTTGCCTGGCACTTCTGGATCATGTCTCTCGGTGTCCTAGCACCCCCAGGCGATGGGTTTCGCGGTCCCGTACCGCATGGGGCGCAAGGCCTCGCGCTGTGCGTGTGGTTCAAACTTTGTTACAACCCAGTCAGAAAGAGGCAGAGGGTCAATTATGGGTACGAGTTCCGTGGCTTTTTCTCGGGTAGGCGTGGTGGTGTGGTGTGGTGTGTGTGTGTGTGGTGGGGTGGTGGGTCTTCCGCTAGGGACGCGTGTCTCTCGCTCATCGCGCGTCACGCGCCTCTCGCTACCTTCTTTCTCAGTGCGGCGCGTCGACAGACGACACTGCGGCGTGTCTCGACCTCCAGACCACGGACGGTGCACGGAGCACGGAATCGAACAGGGTTAAGAAAGCAGACAAGCTGGCGATCATATCAACGCACTGGCATAATTATTTTGCGCAACCGCTGTCTCCTGGCTGTCTCCGCGGGGCTGCGTGCTCATGTCCTCCCTCACTCACGACAGCCGCGCTCTGTGCGAGTCCGGCCCAAAGGGGGCGTGGAAGTAGCGCAGGTACCAGAGCACCGCGGCGCCTCCGCCCACAACGGCCCCACCCACCACATCCGCCGGGTGGTGCGCGTTGTCGTGCACGCGCGAGGCGGCGACCCACGCAGCCGTTGGCCCGAGGCAGAGCATTGTGTCAGCAGCCCGTCAAGCTCGAGCGCGCAGCCCGTCCGGCCGAGAGGAACCGCGCGTGGGGTATAGCCCACACGCAGCGCGCCAAGTAGCCGCAGGCTCGTGTGGAGCAGGCGGCTACGGATCCGGACGCATGCCCGCTGGGGAAGCCCATCCTCGCTGTCCCTCGCGACGGGATGGGGAGGTCCGTGTCGGGTGCAGTGGAGCCCAGCTGCAGGAGCGGCAGGTCCTGCGTCGACGTGCTGGCTCCCCAAATGAGCGTCGCCCGACGCGCATTACAGTTCCGCATGGTACGGGACCCCTCGATCGTCTCGCCCTCCCTCACTGGTGTGTTCATTGGGGGGGGTCATAACAAAACACGGTACAGGATCGAGGTGCACGCTGCCAAAGCAGTGTCGTCCCCCCTCTCCCCGACGGCGATGGCGGTGTGACCGATCGAGCTACAAGAGGAGCTTGTTCAGCAGGATCCGGGCCGTCGGATGCACTACCTCACTGGGTCTGAGACTACCACCGCACGGCCAGCCCTTCACCACTCCGGGTTTGCGTGGAGTCGAACCACTCCGGTATGGGCGAGCCCATTGATTTGAGTTGAGTCACTTCTCGCCTTGCGCTCAATAAAACTTTGAAAGCTGCGCAAGTTGCATACAACACCCTCTCTCTTTTCTCCCAGTAAGCTAAAAGTACGTACACCCTTGTTGTAGGCATACAGTACACCGTAGTCCCCCAGGTGTGAACGTCACGTGTGAAAATTCTCAGTCACTGTGTGTCTCCTGTGACAGCCGAGAGTGTCTGTGAGTAGTGTGGGGAGCGAGTACTCTCTGATAGCCGAACGGGGGTTCCCCGACCGACGTCACTCACTCCTTAGAACGAACTAAGTAAACTCACCGAGGTTGCCACTCAACCTCCCGGCTCTGGGGGGAGGCGGGGGCCCTAGAGGGTATCCATGCGGGTGGGAGACGGGGTCCCACGGCCCGCCGCAGGCGCCGATTTTTTCGAGACTTTTTTCTTTTTTGCGCATTTTTTACTTGTTTTCAAAGGAATTCGCCGTACTTGCGGCCATGCTATCACGCCTTGCGACAGCCTGTCGGCGCTGCTGACCGTGCCCTGCTGCACAATTGACCACCTGCATAGCTCGCGGCCTTCGTATCCACCATTCAGTGACGACCTGATCGTACGGCCAGTAGGAAGGTGTCCTTCCAGCGCGTGCACGCTTCTGACGCAATGCGCGTCACAAACTGCCTCGGCGACTGGCTGCTGGCACTCTCGAGGCTATGCCTACACAGCCTCGCGCGCATGGGCAGTCAAGAGGGACCATGCACTTTCTCAGGACAGCGCCAGTGCCTCTCCCTTGGACCGGCAAACGTGGTGGTCTCGTGTCACCAATGTGGGACCAGTGCGGCATCGCGCCATCGACAGCTCTGAACTGCGCCTCACCACTGACCGGGAAGGCCGCCAAGTGGGCCAGCACCGGTCACACATTATGGCAGCAGTCAGCAGTTATCTGATAGCTAGAGCAGCAGCGTCAGGGTCGCAGGGTCGGATCATGTCAAGCCTCTCGCCCGGCCGGCCGCGTGCAGACGTCGGCCTGTCTGCTGTCTGGAGTGATCTGTCGGCGGTCAGTACGACCGATCAGGTCGGAGTTTTCTGATGGTTAGAGGGTCTATCTGTGTGTACTCCTCGAGATCTCTCCAAATCTGCCCTCTGATTAACCTAGCTTAATCGGGAAGTCGGTGCTAATAGAGACTAATAGAGCCGGGGCCCCGTTTCCGCACTGCGGCGCGGCGCACGGTGCCTCCGGGGGCCCCCGCCTCCCCCCAGAGCCTCCCGGAGCTCATGGCAGAGAGTCGGGCGCCACCCAGGCGCCAGGGCCCAGCCCGGGAAAGTGGCAGTCGCCTCTTACGCGACCTGCCTGCGTCAAAGGCCCTCCAGGGCGCCGGTTCACGGCATCACGGGCCAAGGCAGTGCGAGAGAGGTTCACGCCCGGCCGTCGGCCAGGGCCTTTTTGGGTCCTCTGCTTCCCAGTTCCACAGTTCCGCAGCAAAGTGCTGTGATTTCTAATAGTTGTACATGTTGTCCCTATGAATCCCATCTCGTCTCAGACTTCGACCGTTTTATTTATTCCTCACGCCTGCACCAGCGGCGTCTTGCCGGCCGCGATTGCGTCTCGCAGCTTGCGCATCCCGCGCACCCACTTGGTGGGTGCCGACGCCCGCATCTGCGCGTAGCCCGCGACCTCCGGGTGAGGGAGGACGAGCAGCTCGCCGCCGCTCGCCATCGCGTCCAGCGTCGCCTCCGCCACCGCCGCGGGAGAGAGCACGCCCTCGTCGGCGCCTCCTGCCAGCGCGCCTGGCGGCGGCGCCGCCCGAGGGTCCTCCGACGGCAGGCCGACCAGCGAGGTTGCGACGGCCTGCGGGCAGACGCAGTGGACCCGCACGCCTCGGTCTCCGTGGTGCACCTGAGGAGACAGGCAAGAGGTGAGGCAAGAGGTGCTGTGGGAAGGACGAGGACCCGTATTCCGCAGCTAGGGCGCTGCACCGCCAACGAGGCGGCGAAGGCGACCGCCGCAGCCTTCGAGACGGAGTAGCTGGGCGCGCCGACCTGGGTGAGCAGTCCCGCCGCCGAGGCGACCGTGACGAACGACCCGCCCTCCTCTCGCGACTCAAACTCGGGCACAACCGACTCTGCAGCCCACACGTGAGCCAGGCAGTTGATGCTCATCGATCGTTCCCACGACTCGGCCGACTCGCCGACGGCGGAGAAGGCCGTGCCCGCCTCGAGCCCCGATGCCACCCCTGCGTTGCAAACCATGCCGTCGATGCGGCCAAAGGCGGCCCGTGCAGTGGCAATGGCGGCATGCACGCCGTCGCGGGTCGAGACGTCAGCGGCAATGGGCAGAGCTCGAAAGGACTGCGACTCAGCAGCCGCCTCGGCCGCAGCAGCCGCACGCAATGGCGGGACCACGTCGATGAGAGCGACTCCGGCAGCTCCGCGCTGAGCGAGGCCGACTGCGATCGCACGGCCGATGCCACGGCCGGCGCCCGTCACGACGTGGTAGGATGAAGCGAAGTTCATCACTGGCTTGCCGTCGTCCCTGGGATGCCGCCCGCCGCTCTTCGAGCGCAGGGTCTTTGGGTTCGACGGGTGTGCCACCTGCGAGGCGGTCCGGAGCCAGGGGCACCAGGGGCCTTTTCGGCACCAGGAGGCGTGCGAACGGCACCAGGGGCGTGGTGGAACGCGCCTTGACGGAGCAGGAGGCGCCCGCGACTGGCATCACTTTCGTTATCGGGTCCTTGTGCAGCTTGCACAGCTCAAACGAGCCCACCATCATCAGCTCAAAGGCGACGCAGTCGGCCGCGCGCTCGGCACCTTTGGCGGCACTGGTTTGGGCGTGAGTTCCCACCGCTCATCGTACGAGCCCTTGTTGCCACCAGCGGTGCGGCAAGCGCCGCCGAACAGGTCGTACGTAATGCACATGCGCATGTGCATGTGAATCCTTCGTCGGGTGAAGCCGCCGTTCACACGTAGACGACTGCGAGTCGACGTCACGCCCCGGGAAGCTCCTCACGCAGCTCCCGACCCGACTGCGGAGTGCGCTATGCATCAGGAGTCGAGCCAGCCTCTGATGAGCTGGTCGTTCCCTCTTTGCATGGACTTCAAGTGAGCTCCTCTCTGAGGTGTGCGGCGCATAGCACGGTCGGCCGAACCTGACCGAACACAGGAACCCTACGCCACGGTGATGGCATGAAAAGTCGACCCACGGGAGGGTGCGGACAAGGGCCTCCTGCTGATCCGCTGCCTCATCCTCGAGGATTCAGGCGCCTTACCATGAACACAACACACCAAGTCCAAGAGAGCAACGCACACAGAGCAGCGCGACCGGAGGCAGGACTGGGGCAGGAATGGCGAGAGAGTGATGCTACCGAGGAATAGTGAGAGAGTGAAACTGAAATAAGACAATGGGCTTGCCCATCCCGGAGTGGTTCGACCCCACACAAACCCGGAGGGGTGATGGGATGCTGTCGCGGCGGTCTCCGGCCCAGTGAGGTAGTGCGCCAGACTATCCCAGATCCTGCTGAACAAGCTCCTCTTGTAGCTCGATCGGTCACACCGCCATCGCCGTCGGGGAGAGGGGGGACGACACTGCCTCGGCAGCGTGCACCTCGATCCTGCACCGTGTTTGTTATGACCCCCCCCCATGAACACACCAGTGAGGGAGGGCGAGACGATCGAGGGGTCCCGTACCATGCGGAATCGACCCTATCCAGTGCTCAAGTGCTCAAGAGAGTGAACACGGTAACAGCCCAGTAGGTAGGTAGGTAGGTAGGAATGGCGGGAGAGCGACGATCTCGATATGCATTCACGCGTGAAGGCATCTGATCCACGAGCACAGGAATTTCTCTGAGATGTGTGGCCGCACGCTGGGGGCGGGGAAAACGTCTTCCCCCGAGATTTCCCGATGGGCGTTCATTATGACCCGATTGTTACAATGCCATTGAGCCCCGAATCCTGGCCCCAAGTCTGGCTGCAGATCGGTCGTCCTCACTGCTCGACACACGATGGGCTCCCTCGCCTCGGCTCGTAGTATCACGGTGGGATGGCTGGTGATGCAGCCCGCTCTTGTGCACGGCGCGTGCAACGGGTTCTGCGCCAAGCCCAAGACCGCCTGGAGTAAGAAGTGCAACTGGGAGGGCTGCGGTGACTGCACGGAATGCTCCGCACCCGTTCCCTCGCCACCACCCTCGCCAGCACCGTCGCTATCTAGCACATGCAAAGACCACTGTGCCTTAAACTCAAAGATTTGGTCGACGAAATGCAACTGGGAAGGCTGCGGAGGCTGCGCAGAGTGCACCGTCACGCACTCGCCATCGCCAGCCCCCGCACCTGGAGCCGGGCCCTGCAAGAATTACTGCGACAGAAAGACCACCCCATGGCGTACGGGAGACGGTGACAAATGCAGCTGGAACGGCTGTGCGGGCTGCAAAGAGTGCTTGGTTTCTCCCTCGCCGCCACCGCCAAATCCGCCAAGCCCAAGGCCGCCGCCACGCCAGTGCGAGAACCACTGCGCCAAGAAGGACATCTACATCGGAAGCAATTTCTGCTCTTGGAACGGCTGTGGTGCCTGCCTGGAGTGCTTCCCGTCGCCACGGCTATCCTTGTCGCCGCCACCGCTCTCAACCCCTCCGCTGCCACCGCCCCGGCCCAGCCCACCTCCGCCCAGCCCCCCCCCGCCAAGCCCACCTCCACCCACGTGGCCGCCTCCGTCCACGCCGCCGCCACCGCCCTCATCCCCTCCGCTGCCACCGCCCCGGCCCGGCCCACCTCCTCCCAGCCCCCGCCCGCCAAGCCCACCTCCACCCACCCCACCGCCCTCGCTTTCACTTACGCCACCTCATCCTCCCTTGCCCCTCATGCCACCGCCAGCGCCACCTCCACCCACGCCGCCGCCACCATCCCCTCCGCCACCCTCGCCACCGCCACCACCGTCGCCCTCGCCCCTCCCCCCGCAACCAGCCCCTCCGCCGCCGTCGCCGCCGCCGCCGTCCCCTCCGCCGCCGTCGCCACCACCTCCGTCCCCTCCACCACCCTCACCGTCGCCCCCACCCTCGCCGCCGCCGCCGCCGCCGCCGCCGCCGCCGCCGCCGCCGCCGCCACCCTTGAAGTGTGAGAACCACTGCGCCAAGAAGGACATCTACATCGGAAGCAATTTCTGCTCTTGGACGGGCTGTGGTGCCTGCCTGGAGTGCTTCCCGTCGCCCCCATCTCCTCCGCCCTCGCCACCACCTCCATCCCCTCCCCCACCCTCACCGTCGCCCCCACCCTCGCCGCCGCCGCCGCCGCCACCCTTGAAGTGTGAGAACCACTGCGCCAAGAAGGACATCTACATCGGAAGCAATTTCTGCTCTTGGACGGGCTGTGGTGCCTGCCTGGAGTGCTTCCCGTCGCCCCCATCTCCTCCGCCCTCGCCACCACCGTCACCGCCTTCGCCGCCCCCTCCCTCGCCAAGGCCGTCGCCCCCATCTCCTTCGCCCTCGCCACCACCGTCACCGCCTTCGCCGCCCCCTCCCTCGCCAAGGCCGTCACCGCCGCCCTCACCGAGCTGGCCTTGCACCGAGCCCGTTCCTCGGACGTCGTCGGCGTATTTCTGTGCAGATTCCAACACAGCTGTGATCTTCTCTGGCTTTCTGGGCCGTTCCGAGGGCGACGCCAAGTGCCTCGCGGACTGCGCGGCCGACCCACAGTGTGGCTACATGTCGTGGTGGCCAACTTCAGGTTGGTGCAAGCTGACCAAGGGCTGCACTCTGGGATGCCGCAAGGTGGGCGGAGCCTGCGGAGGTGAGGATTCCATCGTCGTCAACCCCGAGGGGTGGGGGCGGGGTCGGGGTCCAACGTGACCCGGCCCATCGCCTCGGCAAGGTCTTCGACGCTAAATGCCGCCACGCCGCTCGAAGATAGCTCGCTAGTTGTGCGTTCTCCCCCGGGCGGGAATTCTCCCCGTCGCACACGCCATCGCGTACTCGCTGTCCGTTCGGAGGGCCGTAGCCTTCGGTCATATGCATATCACGAGCATGGCATTCTCGTCGCTTATGCCAGGTAGGTAGGTAGGTAGAAAGGTGAAGAACAGCCAGGCTCGGACTGGACACCAACGCGGTATGGGTGGACGCTAGACAGATGATGACATATTATGCCGTCCCTCGCGTCGGGTTTCTTGCCTGGGCAGCTGTGAGCACGGCGAGCCATTCAGTCCGATTTTGGACGGCGACCCGGCCCCCGCACAGGCAATGCCACAGACGGCGCTCCCGTCCTCGCCACTCGTCGCGTTCTACATCGCCTTTGTCGCCGGCACGCTCCACCTCCTCCGCACGTCGGACCTTCGGCTGGAGGAGGCGACGCTCGCGATGGTCGGAGGGTCGGAGTTGGTCTCACCCACCGCGCTCGCTGTCGTGCGAGGCTGCTTTGCTGCGCTCGGGCTCTGCACCCTCCGGTCGAGCATCGCAGACAAGGAGGGCGTGCGGTATCAGCTGCAGCGGCCGGCCGGATCTCAGCTGCCGGTGGTGCAGGTGCACCTCACGGGGCTCAAGCGGCTGACCACCTTCACGGTCCAGTCGTGGACGCTGCTCTCCCTCTACTTTACCGGCGCGACCGTCGCCTCGGCCGCGTTCGCCTGCGGCGCCGCGCTGCCGCAGCTCGTGCAGGTTGGCCTCTGGCTCTCCTTCGAGACTGCCTGGGCGTCGGCGCTGATGACGTCGAGCGTGACGACGTGTGTGTGTACTCCTGACCCGCAGGGTCCTTAACGACTGATGATTCACCCTTCATCAGATGATTAGGTACGTGCTCATCCCGGGCGCGGCGCGCGCAAAGAACGTGCCGCAGCTGCGCCTCCTCTTCTCGTGGAGGCTGCAGGTGCTGCACAACGCCAACCTCGCGATGTGCGCCGTCGAGATGGTGCTTGGGAGGGTGCCGCTTCGGATGGTGCACGTCCCGGTCGGCGTGCTCTGGGGGCTCCACTACGTCGGCTTTGCGTGGGCGTGGATGCTGCGGACGGGAGGGGTCGTCTACTACCCGTTCCTCGACCCGACCGTGCCGCCCTCCACGTCTCTCCCAATCCACGTCGCCCTCGTCGCCGCCTTTGCCGCCTTCTTCGCGTTCGGCGTCCTGCTGGGCGGCTCCGACGACCTCGCGGTCAAGGTGTCGGCCCTGGTAGCTGCCGTGCTCGGGCTGACGTACACGCGCGCGCACGGTGCGCCCGCGCTGCTGAGAGAGGCGGCGACGGCGTAGTGCGAGCGCCGTGACGGTTGGCTGTTCTCTTTTGGGGGCAGCGCGAGGCTTGTCGCGAGGCTTGTGTTCGGCGGCGCCCTCTCACACCTTCCCAGATTAAGAGAAAATGCAAAGAAGGAGCTGCGCGCTCTTCAGTCTTCACTACCCCTAAAATGCTAAAAAGAAAGAAAAGAAGCACACGGGAGATTGGGAGAGAGAGAGAGAGAGAGAGAGGGGCGCGTGGTTCTAACCACGTAGTACGACTACAGCCCACCACAGACACACTCCCTCTCCTCTCCACACGTGTGCACACACCCTCACCCTCTCCTCTCTCCTCTCTCTCTCTCTCTCCTCTCTCATCCTTGTCTGCTGTCTGCCTGACTCAGGCACTCAATCTGCCGATGCGTGATTGTGTGTGGGCTGCTCCGAGGGGGCCCTGTGCGATCCGATGGGTAGGGAGTCTGTGCCCGGGCGGTGTCCGGTGTGGAGTCTCTCTCTGATCCCACCTGTGGTGTTGGGTGTGAGGTTGTGGCGGCTTCGATCCCAAGGGGGGGAGCTGATCCCACTCATAACCAACTCTCAGGGGCAGTAGGTGGGCGAGCCTCGAGCGCGCTCATCTCGATCGTGAAGGCGTCGCTACGCGCGGTCTTCCGCGGGGGGAGCTGCGTCGACGGGTGCGGGACCGCGGCGCAGCCGGTGCCGCGGCGAGGCCTCCGGCTGTTTGCGGCGGGCGGCTTGCTGCTCGCTGCGATGGCGAAAAACTCGTCTCGCCACACGCCAAGGGCTTATGCTCTGGCGAGACGTGAGGCACATGCGCCCAGGAGGGGAGGGAGCATGTGTAACGACACTGCTAGAGATGCCTTTCGGGGCCCAGAGATAAAACTTCTGTGATGCCATGCGTGACCTAGTAGTGTCCCCAGCTATGGGCGTGTCCACGTTGGAGCCAGGTGTGGTGTGGGCGCGAGAATAGCTCCGCCGTTCATGGAGGCAACCGATGCGAGTCGACTGGTGTGTGTCGTCGTGGTTTCGTATCAAGAATTCTCTCTCTCTCTCTCTCGGGAGATTGGGAGTCACATCGCTCGTTCCGGTGCTTTCTTTTATTTTCACCAGCGGTTGAGGGTGGGGCTGGCGCGTAGAGGCCCCGCCCAACCAGGGTACCCCTCTCCTGAGTGCTCCCGGGGGTCTTCGCTCCAAGAGACCTCGGCACGCTAATCTCATTCGACCTCATGCTGCGCCGTCTCGCGCCGCTCTACCTACTCTCCACGGCTGCAGACGCGTACAGCCTCGATGCACCACGCCACTTCGTCGCGGCGGTTTCCGCACGGCATGCGCGCGGCACCGTCGCCTCGGCTGCTCCAGCAGCGGCTCCGCCGGAGCTCGCCTCCTTTCGTGCCTGGCTGTCGGAGAGTGGCATCGCCAGCGAAGCGGTCGAGCCTGCAAAGCTGCCGGGCTGGGGCGTCTGCCTCGTGGCGGGCCCGGACGGCGTGGCGCAGGGAGACACGCTGCTCTCCATCCCGACGGCGCTGCATCTGACGCCTGCATCGGTGGCAGCCGGTCCGGTGGGCGCTGCGGTCGCAAGAGTGGTGCCCAGCGACGACCACTCCGCGCTCCTCGCCCTCGGCCTGCTCGAGCAGCTCAGCCGTGGCGAGGCCAACTGCTCGAGTTGGCGATGCGACCGGCCCGCACGTCTCCCCTGCGTGGAGGCTTCTCGGAACCTGCCCGGAGGTCTCCTGTAGGCCGTACATCGAGCTGCTGCCGTCGGGCGACGAGATGGTCGGCATGCCTCTGCTATGGGCCGACGAGGAGCGGGCTGAGCTGCGGCCGGTCAGCCGTGTCCACGACACGTCCCTGACACGCGCCCCCAACACGGCACACGCAGGAGCGGGCGCAGCTGCTGTCGGGGAGCCACCTGGAGGGGTGCGTCGCGCAGGCGCAGAAGCCGCCCTCCTCGAGCAGTGGTCCGTGGCCCGAGAGTGGCCGATCCCGCCCGCGAGGACTAGGCGCGGCAGCAACTCCTCGAGCAGTGGGCTGCGGTCGAGGCCGTGCTGCCCGCGCACGCCGAGGCGCCCCTCCGCCTCGATCACACTTCCAACGATCACACTTCAGCGCTGCCCCTCGATCACACTTCACCGCTGCCGGGCTGTCACCCGAGAGTGCCCGAGAGTAGGTCTTCCCTCGCTCCGTGTTCAACGCTGCCGGCTACTTGTGGGCGCATGCGGTCGTGCTGTCGCGCGCGCTTCCGTTTGGGGAGGAGCGCTGCTGCACCTCGGCTGCACCTCGGCTGCACCTCGGCTGCACCTCGGCCGCACCTCGGCTTCACTTCGGCGCTAGGAGCTGCACCTCATCCCCCTCCTCGACCTCGCCAACCACGCCGCGGGCTCTCCTCCCCACGTGCTGCGCGGGACCTGCTTCACACACACCTCGGCCAGATCTCGGCCGACTCTCGGCTACAGGCTCCCCCCACGCGTGCTCGATCGGCGTGAGCGGCGAGGGCGGCGCCGTCAGCGAGAGGCGGCCGCGCCCCATCTTCTGCTTCTGCACCGCCCCGGCCGGTTCTCTGCTAGGCGGCGCCGTCAGCGAGGCGTGGCAGGTCGAGGGCAAGGAGGCGGCGGCGGTGCTGACGGCGGGCGCCGCGGCGGCCGCTGGCGAGCAAGTCTTCATCGACTATGGCGAGGCCGGTTGGCGGTCGAGCAAGGGGGCGTGAACGGCATCTCTTCACAGCTTCAGCCGTGAACAGGCGAGGCGGGGTGGCGGTCGAGCAAGGGGGCGTGAACGGCGTCTCTTCACAGCTTCAGCCGTGAACAGGCGAGGCGGGGTGGCGGTCGAGCTGGGAGATGCTGTACACGTACGGCTTCGTGCCTGGCTCGTCGGTGGAGGAGTGGATCGCAGCAGGCTGGCCAAGTGCCTCGGCTGTATCTCGGCTGTATCTCGGCTGTATCTCGAGTGTGTATTGGCTGCATCTCGGCAAGTGCCTCGGCTGTGTAACGGCTGTCTCTCGGCGGCACAGGCGGGCGGCCGCTCTTCTTCGACGGCGTCTCTCCCTCCGACGAGCTGCTGCCGCAGAAGCGGGCGCTGCTCGCCGCTCTCGGCGCCGCCGAGGGGGCACGCCCCTAAAGAAGAAATCGATGTCTCCGCCCACAGGCAGACAAGTTCCTGTTTAGGCGCCTCCGAGGGCGCCGCCGACGGACAGTGGCTCGACCTCAAGCCGACCGCGGACCAGTGCGTGGCAATGGCGCCGCTGCTCCGGCTTGCCAACCTCTCCCCCGGCGACGCGAGCCTCGAGGAGGGGGTGCGGCGGCTCGCCGAGGCGAGGTGTAGCCGAGATCACCCGAGATCACCCGAGATCACCCGAGATCACCCGAGATCACCCGAGATCACCCGAGGCGCGCCGGTTCGCCGAGGCGCGCTCGGCCGCACCCTCGGCGACGCTGGGCGGCGGGATATTGCGCGAGATCACCCGAGAGTGCGCGAGGTCGTAGGCGCTCGCCGAGTGGCGCGCGGACCCGGCCGCGCTGTGGAGTGCGCTGCAGAGGCCGGTCGGCGCGGCTGTCGAGGCGAAGGTCGCGGAGCAGGTGCCCGAGATACAGCCGCGATATAGCCGAGATCACGCGAGATCCCTCGAGGCAGAAGATCGCGGAGCAACCCCTCCTCGCCTCAGGTGCTGTCCGTCTGCGAGGAGGCGCTCGCCGCCCTCCCGCCCGCCGACGAGCTCGCGCCGCGGGCGAAGCCCGACCAAGGCCTGCCTGGCGACGGGACTGCCGAGGCGGAGCGCGCGCGCTGCGCCGCGAGGGTGATGCTCGGAGAGCGGAGCGCGCTGGAGGCGTGCGTGAGCGTGTGGGAAAAGGTGCGGGCGGCGGCGGCGGCCTAGCCGCCAAAGCCCCCGCCCGGGGACCACGTGTCAAGGCTGCTGGCTCTCGTCTAGACGTAGAGGCGCAACGTGCCACCGTGCGGTGCACTGCTGACTAATTAAATGAGATTGTTGTCTCTAGCGCCGCGCCCGGATTTCGAATAAAAAATAATACCCGCAGATCGTCGTGAACTGAAGAGTTGAGTCTTGGTTGTTTTGTGTGAGACACATGAGAGCCCGCAGTACCCGCAGACGCGCCGACTTGGCTCTTGCGTCTTGGGAGTCTGGGCGGACCGACTGCGCGACACCGACAGAGGACTCAGCTATTCGCACGAGAAAGAAAAGGGGGGGCGCGGCCATTAGTGTGGTGGCCCTTGCACAGGTGGTCTCAACAGGAAATGCACTGGTTCGTCCTAGACAAGAATGCCCCGCTCGCCGCTGCGCATCACGATACGCGTCCCTGACGGCCTGCCACGGCCTCCTCCTACTAGTACCTCCGAAGGCACCCCCTCCGGATCCTCCTCGTCCACCTCATCGATGGGGAGATGGCGCATCACCGCCTCGCATGCCGCCTCGCCGCCCCGGCGGTCCGCGGGACGAAGAGTGAGCGCGCCGCTGTGATAGCGCGCCGCCGTCGTCCACAGAGGGTAGCCCAGAAGGATGCCGGTGAGCCAGCCCATCTGGGTGTCCTCCACATCGAAGCTCTTGACGTATCGAGAGATCATAGCCTCGGGGCCCATCGCCGGGGATCGTCGCACAGAGTGCCACGCGTGCACCTCCGCCGCCACCCCGGGCAGCCCCGCGCGTGTGTAAAAGTCGCCCAGCCCCTCGAGCGAGACGATCTCTCCCACACGCCGACCGCGCAAGCAAAAGCCGAGCAGCGACATGCCGTAGGCGCTCCGGTACTCGACGGCGATAAGCGTGCCGGTCTGCTGCACCTGTGGGAGCGTAGTCGAATGGCAGGGGTTGGGAGCCTGAGCCTGTGATGAGCGGATGGTAAATCACGGCGCACCTCGCTCCGAACGAGATCGCCCTCCTGCTGACTGAGGTTGTCGAGCACGACGAAGCCAAGCGGCTTGAGTCGCCGGGACACTCGATCGACAAGGCAGAGCGCCGCCTCCAGCTCGCCGGGCAGCCTGCGCTCGCAAGGCGCTGTGCTCTTTGGAAGGCCAAGCAGAAGCGGAATGTTGTCGGCGACGTGCTCGTCAGCACCGCTCCACAGGAAGTTGTGCCCGCAGCCTGCGCACCACAGGCTCGAGCTCTTGCAACACCAGCCACCGCTCGGCGCAACCTCTGGTCGTCTCAACTCGGCGGCAAAGCACCGCTTCGCGTCTGCGCTCTGTCCAAGAGATTGTGAGACGATGAAGCGCCCAATCGCTGCCGAGTCTGAAGCATTGTTAGCGCTCATGCAGTCGAGATCGTCCGGCAGTCCCTGTATGTACAGTGTATGCGTACCGGCGAGGCCGGCGCTAATTTTCTTTTTTGCTGAAAGCCGCGTTTTTCTTTCGAGGCCCGGTATGCCCTGACGCTGGCTTTGTAAAGAAAGAAAGAAAGAAAGAAAGAAAACACAGCAAGCAAGAAAGCGGCTTTGTGTGTAGAATTTTACAACAAAAGGACAAACAAAACGGTCGCACGACACGATTCACCGGATGTGTGTAGAACTCAAACCTCCATCCTGACCGTAGCCTGCCTGGCCCCGACCGTCCTTGGTAACCGTCTCATGTTTGGTTTGTCCTTGCCGCGCACCATTGTCATCGACTTGTATCCGACTTGGTGGTTGTGGTGATGTAGCGATGGGTGACAACCTATACAGCTCCTCCGTGTTCCGTCTCCTGACAGAAAGGTGATATCCAGGTACCGTGTCAGAACCCACCTGTGCCCCTGATCGTCCTTCCAAAATCCTGAGAGATCCGGTCTTTGGGGTTGGACCAGTGTCATGCCGCGAGAGCAAGGAGCAAGGGATCGGCAGGCGGCGGCGGCGTCGCAGGACGAGGCACAGGAGAGCGACGCGACAGAGGAAGAAGGAAGGTTGCAGCGAGAATCGGCGAGGGAGGAGGGACTGCGAAGAGAGATAGAAAGAGGCAGACTACGCCCGAGGGTGGGCGACGGCTAGCACCACACTCCTCTCCTTAAAATCCCTGTGTGGTGGCGGCGTGCCGTCCTCCCATCCCTCCCTTGGGTGTCTGTTTTCTTTCCTTTCTTCGATGTCTGTAGTCTGACAACTAGACAGACTACAACCGACTCTGTGTCACGAAACGACTGCAACCCCGCCGGTCCTGATTGGCTAAGGCAGCTCGTAAGGCAGCGGGCATGGCTCGCTCGTCCACACCCAAATCGAGTTGTAGTTGCAGCCAGCATTAACGCAGTTCTTGTCGCACAGAGTGTAGCCGAGCGCGGCGCAGCGTGACGATGCCTCCTGCCACGTAGTGTACTCGAAGGAGGAGCTCCACATCCCAGCGATACAGTCGTCGTTGCTGCTTGAGCTCTTACGTTTGCACGTCGAGCCGTCGCAGCACTGCGCAGCGATGGCGACGTTGAGGTGCCTGGTGGCGGTGGCGTCGTGGACGCACGCCTGAGTATTGGAGTTGCCGTCGAGGATCAAGACGCCTTGGGCAGGGAAAGGGGGCGCCGCCGGCGCCGGCGCGGGCGGGCATGGCTCGCTCGTCCACACCCAAATCGAATTGTAGTTGCAGCCAGCATTAACGCAGTTCTTGTCGCACAGAGTGTAGCCGAGCGCGGCGCAGCGTGACGATGCCTCCTGCCACGTGGTGTACTCGAAGGAGGAGCTCCACATCCCAGCGATACAGTCGTCGTTGCTTCTTGAGCTCTTACGTTTGCACGTCGAGCCGTCGCAGCACTGCGCAGCGATGGCGACGTTGAGGTGCCTGGTGGCGGTGGCGTCGTGGACGCACGCCTGAGTATTGGAGTTGCCGTCGAGGATCAAGACGCCTTGGGCAGGGAAAGGGGGCGCCGCCGGCGCCGGCGCGGGCGGGCATGGCTCGCTCGTCCACACCCAAATCGAGTTGTAATTGCAGCCTTTGTCTGCGCAGTTCTTGTCGCACAGAGTGTAGCCGAGCGCGGCGCAGCGTGACGATGCCTCCTGCCACGTGGTGTACTCGAAGGAGGAACTCCACATCCCAGCGATACAGTCGTCGTTGCTGCTTGAGCTCTTACGTTTGCACGTCGAGCCGTCGCAGCACTGCGCAGCGATGGCGACGTTGAGGTGCCTGGTGGCGGTGGCGTCGTGGACGCACGCCTGAGTATTGGAGTTGCCGTCGAGGATCAAGACGCCCTTGGAGGGGAACGCCGGCGGTGGAGGGGGCAGCGGCGGCGACGGCGGCGACGGCGGCGGCGACAGCGGCGACGGTGGTGGCGGCGGTGGCGACGGCGGTCTTCGGGTTGTGCAGTGGTCGCCTCCGTAGCCTGTGCCTGCGCAATCACACTCGTACCCTTGTTGGTTGTAGTTGACGCACAGCCCGCCGTTTCCACACGGATTCTCTGGCAGGCACTGGTGGCACCAACAGCCACCAAGCAGCAGCGCATCAAAGTCGATTCTCGAGCAGTTGATGGGTCCGATGCCCGATTGGTTGAGCGTGCCAACCGTGTCGCAAAAGTGGGGCTCCATGAGCGGATACGGGTTGAGGTAGGACGCGCCGCCCATGTCACCGTGAGCCATGTGGTGCATGAAGGACTGCACATAGGTTTCCGATGATAGGTAGCCTTGAAGGCCGGTTGGCGCTGGAGCCGACACCGATGCAGCGCAAGCTCCGCCCTCGCAGGAGCCCGAGGAGCAGTCGGCGTCGATGGCACAGGACGCCCCGAGCCCGCACCGCCGGCACACACGACCGCCGCAGTCCACGTCCGTCTCCTCACCGTCAACGAGACCGTCGGTGCAGCTGCTATCGTGGAGCGAGTCGACCAGACACGGCTCCGTCACATGCACCCTGCCAAACTGATCCCCACCCGCCACAAACAAGAGTTCTCCCGCCTCAGAGAGGGCGAGGCCCGTCGGTCCAAGCCCCATCGACCCCACTGGTGAGGTGGTTTGCAGCAGCAGTCCGCTGGCGGCGAGGAATGCGTAGACGGAGCCGCCGCTGCGAGAGCCCACGTACAGCGTCGAGCCGTCGGCCGAGAGGGCAAGGCCGCTTGGTGACGGCACTGCGGCCAGGACAGACCAATGGAGCCCTTTCCAGACCGAGTAGTTGAAGGAGGCCATTGGGCTGCTATAGATGAAGTAGTCGTGCCTTGCGTCGCGCGAGAAGTACCCTGAATCCATCGCCACCGCTAGCACGCGGCCGTTGCCTGTATCGGCGACAAAAAGCGTGCGCGACGCCGCGTCGGCGACCATCTGGCTCGGCACACCCGCCACCCGCTCGAGTGCGAGGCCCTCGTACCGCCGCACCGAGGCGAACTGGTGCTCCATCGAGCCGGGGCCGTGATCCGACTCGAAATCGAAGCGAACCAGCCCGTTGTGAACGCCGTCGAATGTCCAATACACGTTGCGCCATGTCTTGCCGTGCACCACGGAAGCCGCGCCGCCGTCATGCGCGATGCCCATGCAGAGTGGCGACTCATGCAGCATGTCAACGTGGATGAGGAAGCAGGTCTCGCCCTCCTCACACGGCATCTGCTTGCCGTTGACAAGCGCGACCCTGTCCGTGCTCGCGTCGTACAGCGTTGGACCCTGGAAGAAATTGGGCTGCATGTGGCCGTAGTAGTCGTTCAGCGACTCCTGGCACGTCGCGAACTGCCCGATGGCGTCGAACGAGAAGGAGGAGATGTTGGACATGTAGTGGTACTGAGCGCGATCCTTCATCAGCCGCCCCGGGGCGGTCGCGTTGCTCATGTCGAGCACCACCATACCGTCTGAGGTGTCGTCAGCGAGCCAGAGCTCGTCTGCTGCCACCGGGCTGAACGCGAGGGCGCGCAGCGCCAACGGACCCGCCTTGAGGCCTGGGTGGTCCGCGATGGTGGGCGTGAGGTACTCGACCGACGACTGCAGGCCGAGGGCTGGCGCGCAGCCGACACCAAATGGCACCGCAGATGAGCCAGCGGGGTAGGTGGCGGTTATGGTCGCGGCGCCCCCGCCGTTGTATCCCCCCACGGCGATGTAGTATTGCGTGCCGGCCTCGATTTGGTAGGCGTCGATGAGCGAGCCGTATGGGACATCGCACGAGCCTCCATCGCCGTTGCACGCCACCATCTCGAGGCTGTCGCACGGGCCCTTGAAAAGGGAGAGGTCCGTGTCAAAGCCGCAGGAACTTAGGTCGAGCGTCGCACCCGCCCGCACGTCCTCGAGCTTGAGCCAGTACACGTTACCGTGGCCGGCGAAGTAGGTGCCCGAGCATTTCGATTTGTCGTAGCTGGATGGGCCAACGCCGTTCGAGGTGCTGGGGATGTCAAACGAAAAAGAGTTGGAGGTTCCGTCTCCAAAAGGCCGCGCCAAACCGCAAGAGCTTCCTGGAAGCACAGCGGGGGGAGGCGGCGGTCCGTTTTTGCCCTCGTGCTCAAGGGCACGTGAACGTCCCCCAGCGGAGCTCAATAGGCGGAGTTTACGTGAGGTCTCGGCGTCGTCAATCACGTCGGGCTCGAGGCTCCCATGCTCGAGGCTCCCGTGCTCGAGCGCGCCCTCTTCCGCTAGAGGACTAAGGACGTCGAAAAGGAAGCTCGAGAGGCGCTCAAGCTGCGAACGTTGCCACTCGTCACGCGGGTGCATGTTGGGCCCCGAGTTCACCTCGATGAGCCACGGGGTGCCTTCCTGATCGAGCTGGAAGTCAAACCGGACTAGCTCATACCGGGCGGTGAGGTTTCGCTCCTCGTGCTGAACCACGGACAGGCAGCGACTCAGGACTTGCTGAAGCCCAGACCACACATTTGGCCAACGGACCGCGGTGTGTGCCTCCAAGTAAGAGGACAGCGCGTCGATGTTGCGGTTGCCCGGCGCGACTAGAGTCCGCTGCAGTGATGGGATGCGCCGAGCAGGCATGTAGTCGTCCGACACGACCCACCCACGCTGCAGGGTAGGGAGGACAGCGCCGCCCTCTGCCGCGAAACGTTGAAGCGCCGCGTGCGTGGGTGTGAAGCGGTCCGCACAGAAGCGCAGGAGGATGTCATCAAAGACCGCGTACCGCAGACCAGAGGGCACCTTGGTGACGACGACATACACGCCGAGGTCAAAGGCCCAGCCGTCAATCAGAAGCGGCGCTGCGATGCGCCGCTGAATGACGGCTGATCCAGCTAGCCGGTCAAAAGCTTCGCCACGCGGGAGGGCCTGCGGCACGCTCACATTGCGGTGTGCCGAGCCCTTGACGACCCATGCAAATGGCTCTTCCCTTTCGGGAGGCATCCCACTCGCTAGCGTCAGCGGCGTGAAATCGACCCATCCAAGCGAGCGCGACAGCACAGCGAATGCACGCTTATCAGAGAGATGTGTCATCGACGGGAGCCGGTCGGGGAGACGAGTTCCTGTTGCGAGGGAGTCAGAGGCATCGTCGGCAGAAGAGCGCCACAGGACGTCAGCCGGCGAGGCCTCCACAACTCGTGCGCCGCGTCTCTGCCAGGTTGAGGCGAGCACAGGGTTGGAGCCTGCCGGGTAGACGCGCAAATCGATCGCTTGGGCAGAAGCAAGCACTAGCAGCATGGGCAACCTAGACATTCGATATCGAGGACGCACGACCAGTCGCTGTACGTACCAGAGACTTCTCATCAGGCGGGCGGTTCCCCGGAAATTTACCCTGGCGGCCGCCGTCATGCTGGGACTCGCCGCGGCATGAGAAGGAAAATGGAGCATGAATGAAGCAGCGACCTGGGCACTGGGCACTGGGATAGGGTCGATTCCTCACAGTACAAGCGAGTAAAGACAGCTTATGGGTAAGGCATGGTGGTGCGACGCCAGGAAGTACTCAACACACACGACAGAGACGTCTAGAGCAAGCGCGAGGCAGAAAGGGGCTTCCGTTGATTCCTTTACGCGCGCTGGGATACGCGAGCGCCGCCGCCGCCGCGCGGCGGGTCCTGCCTGGGCTTGACCCCCCGCGCGATCCGCGCCTTGGCCTCCGCCTCGGCCTTGAACCTGGCACGCAGGCTAAGCGCGTTGGACATGGCGATGCACTGGATGATGGCAATGACGGCGCAGGTCGCGCCGATGGCGATGGTGTTGCTCTGCATCCACTCAATGACGGCCTCGACAAAGTCGAGGTAGCCGTCGGCCCCGGCTGCGCAAAAGTCGCGCTGGCACTCGGGCAGCTCAAAGCCGGGAAGCAGCCACTCAAGCGCATCGCAAGTGGCGGCGGCAGGTACCGTGGTCACCGAGGAGCCGGAGATGTAGCGGCAAAACTGGGGCGAAGACGCGTCGGCGAGGATGGTCGTGATGTCGGGCGCGCCGCCCTCAATTGCCTCGAGGCAGGTGGGTGCCGCAGCGGTGCCGTTGGCCATGGCCATCTGATCGAGGCGGGGGTCGCGGCAGCACAACTGATAGGTGCGGCACGCGAAGCCCTCGACCTCGGACAGCACCGTCTCGCCCAGCCGCCCGTCGTAGCGCCCCTCGCCAGCGCTCGAGACGGTCTGGAGCGAGTCGGAAGCCACGTCGTTGAGCGACCACACGTAGTAGGCGAGGACGGCGGCCGCAGTGAGCTCCGCAAAGAGCGCGACGATTTGCAGCGAAAACGAGAGGAGCAGAGCGCAAGTGGAGCGGCAGCAGATGCCCAGCAGAGACAGCGCGGAGAGCGACGCGACAAACGCGCCGGCTGCGGCAGCAGAGATGAGGGTGGGCGTGCCAAACAGGCCGCTGAAGAACTCGGCGCCCGACGCGCCTAAGCGAGGAGGGAAAGGTGTGGGTGAGCGCTGGTGGGGCAGAGTCGAGCGGCCGGCCACTGGCGGGGCGCCAAGAAGGACATAGGCAGCAAAGCCGGCAAGGGCGAGCCCGCACACCAGTAGGAGGGTCGAGAGGGTTGCGAGGATCGGGACGGAGCCCTTGGGCGGGCAGACCAGCGACCGGCAGCAGCAGAGGAGGAGAATCGCAGCGACGACGCCAATGCCGAGCAAAAGCCACTGCAGCCACTTGTCGGCGATCGCAGAGACACCGCGACCCCCGGGGGAAGAGACAGTGCCAGGAGGCGTGTAGCTGCAGTCGTCCCGGGCACGGGCGGTTCCGGTGTAGCACTGCAGGCTGCAGCGGTCGTTTTCAAACGTGTTGGGCGCTCTGTTGCAAGGATCGTTTCCCGCATAGCACTTTCCGTCGATGAAGCCGTTCGGATCGGTGGTGACGAAGGCGCCGTCGGCGTTGGTGTACCCGGCGCCCCAGAAGTTTTCGCCGCCGCACGTGCCAACAGAAAGGGCGGGGTCCTCTCCCGTTGTGACGAAGGCGGTCGGCGGGAGCTGGGGGTCCACGGCACCGCACCGCGAGGTGACGAAGCGGCAGCCCTGCTTGTACCCCCAGCTGAGGCAGTCCACCGAGGAGTAGTTGCCGAGGTAGAAGCCCAGGTCCTCCATCGCCGCCAGCGTGATGGCCGACACGGCGGCGTCCGGATTGTAGCCGTAGCTCATCACGTCGTCGCGCATGATGCGCGTCTCCCAGTGCGAGTTGCGCCCGAGACTCGGGAAGCCCATGAGCGGCAAACCCCAGCCAACGCCGGCCTGACTGGCGGCGGCCTGCCAAGCGCTGTCATCACAGCCGAAAAAGTCACTGGCGGCGGCATACGCGCGCGTCCCGCTGGTGAAGTGGTAGACCTCATCAACAAAGCCGTCAATGTCCTCGACCTTCTTGAGATCGATCGCACCGGCCTGCAGAAACTTGTGGCTCGAAAAGCCGAGGGCGTGGAGGATCTCGTGCGTGACCAGATTGCGCCACCTGTCGACCGCCTTTTCGCCCCGGCCATTGACGAGAAAGCCCTGGTCGCGGTAGTAGCAGTTCGGCTCTGTCGAGCTGCACGAGCTGCGCACAACCTTGTCGTCCATCCGCTCGACCCAGGCGAAGACCAGCCAGAGCGGCCGCCCTTGCGAGTCGACGGCGCACGAGGAGCCAGTGCCAGCGACGCCCGAGTACACCGGCGGCTTTGTCACCGAGAGCACGACATCGGCGTCGACCCCGTCTTGACAGTACTCCGCGCCCACCGAGACGGACGAGAGTGTCTGGCAGCTCGATGCGCAACGGTTCTCGGTGCTGTAGCCGCGGTTCGCGTACGGGTGTCCGCTTGAGTAGCGCATCGTCAGCGCACCGTCGCTCGCCAGCACTGCGAGCTTTGCCGACAGCTCGTCCGCCACGATCGTCGAGACGTGCTCGATGATTTCCTTTGCGTCGTCTGTTATGAGATCGGACCCGAGGCAGCGGCCCCAGCAGCCCTCCCCCATCGCGATGGTGTACTCACTCTGGTCGCGTGGGCACTCTTTGTACGTCACGCCATCCGGGGGGCCGGCTCCGGGAAAGCCTCGCTGGTACCATTTGCCCGCTTCGAAGCAGGCGGTGTGTTCTAGTGCCGTGGTTTCGTTGAGCGAATCAAAGTTGAGCTTGAACCGGACAGGTCGAGTGGTCTCCAGAGTCAGATCGGTCAGCCGACGGCGCCGAGCAACTTCGTACCGCTGAGGAGCGACCTCTGGCTCGGCGCCGAGGAGGTCAATGAGGGCGAGAGCGGAGCGGCCCGGCACGATGGCCGGCGAGCGTCCACGAGGGTCGAGCGCCGGCGGCGGAACAGCCAGCAGGAGGGGCAGCCAAGCCAAACCCAGCGTGAAGTGAAGGGCGAGCATCGGAGTGTTGGAGCGTGCTTCGGGCGCGGCTCACAGAACCTGAGCTCCTGGCGTCCTTTGCGAAGGCGAACTCCAGCTGGTTTTAAAAAAAATATGCCAGGTCCTGGGCGTGCGGTTGCCGACTGCACTCCAAGTGCTCCAAGTGACCTGTGACCTGTGCTGTGAAAGCTACCAAAGCTGCTTGAAGTATGACAAAAGAGAAGTCATGAGAGAAGTTTAGCAATGCCAAACAAATCTAACATAAACTAATTGGTACAACCAAGGGGGGGGGAAGTTATCCTGCATGGGCACATCTCATCAAGCACGTACAACCTTCCGCGCGACGACTTGCGCGTTCTCGCGGCCGTTGTTCGCGCTCGCGGGCGGCCAGCCCGGGTGGATCTGCTCGCGCTTGAGCAAGACCTCGAACCCTGCGCGCTCGCACGCGCGTGAAAGATCTTCGGCAGCGATGGGGTGGAGGTACGTGGGCAGTTGGTCGTTTGGCATATTGAAGAGCGAGGCGCCGGCCATGAGTTCTTGATGGTTGACGCCTTGCGAGCCCGGCCAGTCCTTGCCTTGGTTGGCCTCCCACAAACTCTGCGCCACCGCCTGGATCGGGCACATTCCGGACGCGCCGGGCACGAATTTCGCCCAGGGAGTCCCGGCGGTGAGACAGAGCACGCCGCCCGGCACGAGCGCGTCGTGCGCCCACGCCAGAGTCTTGTCGATAGCATGGCCCTCGACGAAATGCAGCACCTCTCCTATGAGAATGCTGCTCGCCGTCACCGCGGGCGGCGCATCCGGGACCCGCGCAAATGCAGTCGCGACGTCCGGCGGCGCGTGCGCGCGAGTGTAGGCGAGATGTGCCTCGTCGCAGTCGCACGCCATCACACGCACCGCGGTCGCGGCCGGCGGGCCGCGAGTATTGGCGAGGACCTTCGCGGCTTCGAAGACATTCTTACCCCACGCGCAGCCGATGTCGACGAGCGGGTGGATGCCGTCGAACGCTTGCACCCATTCGTCAAAAAGCGGACTCGTCGTGGACATCTCCATGCCCTTCTTGTTGTTCGTCATCCTCCCGCCGTTTGAAGTCGCGTGTGGCGTCGGCAGGTCCATTTCCTCGACAGTGTCGGATGGCCGCAGCCGTGTGCACCGTGGCGCTCCTCACTTCCCGTCGCCGCGCTCTCCACTGTGGCTAACCAAGGACCCCCGAAGGCGGCAATGTATGTGGGAAACTGGACGACGCCGCAGCCTCGAAAAGAAATTACGTGAGATCTCTTTTATGCCAAGAGTTGAGTTGGCGCTCGCTCAAGTGGCCGGCCTCCGATGAACCTGCCTTCGCCATCGCTCCTTCTCCTTCTCCTTCTCGCCACCCCCGCCGCGGCCCTGCGCGCCGGCGTGATTGGGGGCGGGCTCGGCGGGCTCGCCTGCTGCAACGCGCTGCGCAAGGTTGGCATCGAGGCGGAGGTCTTTGAGCGGGCGCCAAAGCTGTCGCCGCAGGCGGGCACGGGGCTCACGCTGTGGCCAAACGGGCTGTCTGCTCTGGAGGCGATCGACCCGGGCCTCTCGGCGCACGTCCTGCGGGCCGGATCCACGACACAGCACATCGAGGTGACGAGTGCGGACGGGCTAACCAAGCTGCCCAACCCGACGGGCGACCCGCGGCGGTTCCCCTCGACGTACGGGCACCCGATGGCGAACGTGCGCTGGTCGAAGCTGCAGAAGGTTCTCGCCGCGCGCCTGCCCGAGGGAATCATCCACCTCGATCGACAGCTGACCAAAGTCGAGGTGCGACCGGACACTTCCGAGACACTTCCGAGACGCCTCCTAGGCACCCCTGGCACCCCCGCCTCCCCTCCTGTCCCGTTTCCGCTCAACTCTCCGCCGCCTCTCCACCGTGTCGCCGCCCACCGTCGCCGCCCTCCCCTCCCCGCCACCGCCCTTCTCTCCACCCTTCCTACTGCAGCTCTCGCACACCCCACCGCTCCCCTCGCACGCCCTCACCCCTTTCCTTCCCCCCGCCCACCGCCCCTCCAACACCCCCGCCGCCGCCCCGCGTCTCCCAGCCGGCTGGAGGCGGCGTGACGGCGCACTTCGAGCGCTCCGAGGGCGGCGCGGAGAGCGCACACTTCGACCTGCTGGTTGGCGCCGACGGAATCAACTCGGCCCTCCGCCAGCAGCTGGTTGGCGACGGGGCTCCGCGCGACGCCGGGCGCACCATCTGGCGGGCCGGCCCTCCTGGTGCGGCGAGGCGAGCGTGCCTCCCATGGCACCGTGTGTCCCTCCGAGTCGTAGGCGGTCGATCATCCCCTACGAGGAGCGCCTGCTGCAGGCGGGCTCCTGCTCCATGTCGGCTGGCGCGGGCAAGGTTGGCTTCCTTACCCACCTGTCCGAGGGCGAGCTCTACTGGTCCGCCTTTGCCACGGACGAGGCCATCGCCAAGAGCGGCTTGGCGCGCGACCCGGCTGCCACTGTCCCCGAGCCTTCCCTAGAGCCTTCCCCGAGCCACCCAAACCCTTCCCGGACCCTTCCCGTCCCCTTCCCCGTGCCCTCCCGCAGGTGCGTGGCGACTTCTCTTCCGTCAAGGAGAGCCCTCGCTCGCCCGCAGGCCGGCGGAGACTTGCCCGAGACCGCTGGGAGACTGCCCGAGAGTCTGTAGGAGTACCTGGTGGCCCAGTTCTCCGACGTGTACAAGCTGCTGCCCGTCCTCGAGAGGACTCCCGAGGAGGCGATCCTCGAGCGGAGGGCCGAGACTAGCCGAGATTCGCCGAGACTCGCCGAGATTCGCCGAGATGCGCCGAGACTCGCCGAGGTTCGCCGAGATTCGCCGAGGAGGTGCTCCTCGAGCGGAGGCGGGGAGCCGCCTGTTTTGCTGTGGCCACGCCGCCCCCGTCACATGCCGTCCACAGGTCGCCGACAGGGTTCCGCTCGTCGACGGCAGCGGCAAGGTTGCCATTCCGTGGGCGGGGGGCGACGGCGAGGCGGGCCTGCCGAGGCAGCCTGGTGGGCACCTTCCAGGAGCGGTCCAGGACCCTTCCAGGACCCTTCCCATAGGCGGGCCTGCCAGTCACGCTGCTCGGCGACGCCTTCCACGCGATGATCCCGTCGCTCGGCCAAGGCGCAAACACGTCCTTCGAGGGGGCGTACCGCTTGGCGGCAGCCCTGCGCGGCGCGACGACCGCCGAGGAGGTGGTTGCGGCTCTTCGGGCCTACGAGGTTGCCCAGATGGAGCGTGCGCACTGGATCGTCAAGCAGTCGGCAGAGCAAGGCCGGACGGTGTACGAGGACCGCGACGAGTTCATGCGGCGGCAGCAGATGGCGCAGGACGACATGTGGGGCATCGCCTTCAAGCCCCTCGCTGCCTGAGCCCCGCCCCGCCGCCCGGCCGTCGCGCCTCTTCGCAGGAGTGAGGCCTCGCGAGGAGAGCGGCATAGTGTGGGTTCCCGGATCAGCGGCGCCGCAGTCCCACGTGCCGCACGCGCCACGGAGCGCCCGAAAGAGCATGTAAGTATTTGTGTGACCGGTCTCGTGTGTTTGTCGGTTGTTTTTGTCCTGTGCGTCATATGTGCTGCGGGGGTCTCTTTCGGGTCGGGCGCGTTTATAGCAAGAAACCAGAATCTTTATTCCAGAGAAGAGAGAAGTGAGAAGAGCTGGGCCATCATCTTTCATGCGCGAGTCATGGGCGGGTCGCTCCACTCACATAAAACTCACTCTCTTCCGGCTCTGTCTCTGGCGGCCCGAGGGCCCGCGGCGAGAGCAGGAGGTCGCGGGACTCCGGGAGGAGATAGAGAGAGAAGGGCCAAGGTTTTGTCTTGCATTCTCGCTCGTGTCAGGGCTTGCGCCGCTGCCACTTGTCGAAAGTCGCTCCCGGATCGGAGGCATCGATCGCCTTGTGGTCCGGAAAGTCGATCCCGAGCCGCCGGTCAAATCCGCGGTGCGCCCGCTGCTTGGATGGCAGCGCGCTGGGAGCGGTCTGCGTCGGCTGCAGCTCGGGGAAGTGCCGTCCGATCGCCTCGAGGACGCAAGCGGCGATCGCCGCATTCCCTCGCGCGTTTGGGTGCAGGCCGTCTGCGAGGAGGTCCTTCCACTCCTCTCGCAGGAAGGCGGCGTGCACGTCCGCCGCCGGCACGCCCTCCTCCGCCGCAACCTCGAGCGCCGCCGCCGCATATTGCTGCGTCGTCTCGAAGTTGCGATTCGGCTCCGAGGCCGGATCCAGTCCGTACGTCGTCGAGCAGTGCTGCGCCCACGCGACGTCGTCGCACGGCGGAGGGCTGAGGAGCAGCACGCGTGCCGAGCCGTCCCCACACTCGCGGATCGCGCCGATGATGGAGACCAAGTTGCGCCGATACTCTTCGAGCGGCACGTGCTGTCGGCTCGACTGCTCTGGCTGGAGCCTCAGGGGCGGCGGCCTCGTGGCGTCGTTCGCTCCAAGAAAGACGACGACCAGCGCGGGCGTGTCCTCAGGGCGCCCGCCGCTCGGGAATAGATGCGGCAACAGATGCAACGCCCAGCGCGTATTGTAGCCCGAGTATCCGCGCAGCCGGATGTCTGCGTGGCGCTGCCAGTCGTTTGCCAGCGCGGCGCCCCAGCCGCCGGGGCCAAAGGAGAACTGCGTGATGGAGTCGCCGAAGAGCGTGAAGACGGGTCGCATGTCCCACCGCTCTCGTCAAACGGCAGACGGCCGCACTGCAGCTGGTTGGCTGCACGCGGACGAGAGGGCTTCCCGGCGGCGCTCGGGTATTTCTTCAGTGTTTTGAATCAGCGTTTCCTCGAACGATATCGGTGTCGAAACACCGCTCTGACAGCGCTCACAGCTGTGTCACGCCTGTATAATCGAATCGACTCTCCTCCCCCGCCCCAACGCATCGCCCCCTCGTCTCGCATATCTGCCGCCCCGTGTTCTTCCGCCCTCAGGTACAAGGAGAGCCTCGAGTTCCTGAAGGCGAAGGAGAAGAAGGCCAAGCCCGTGGCTGCGAGCCTGCGCCTGATCTCCAAGAAGGAGCAGGCGCGGCGCGAACGTTCGGGCAAATTCTTCTGAACGAGCTCCCTCGGCGGAGTTTGGGCGCTTCGGCCGTCGCGTTAGCGTTGCGGCGTGCACTGGGCTATCTTGGGCTGGCAGTGGCACAGAGTCGCCTCAGCGCAGCCGCGGCTCGCAGTGTCCGCTAGTACTACTGGTGTCCGCGAACTACTCTAGTGTCCGCGGTCCGTGCGTGCGCGTGTGTGTTCGCTATGTTGTGTGTGTATGTGTGTGTGTGTGTGTGTGTGTGTGTGTGTGTGTGTGTGTGTGTGTGTGTGTGTGTGTGGCGGGCCTGCGCTGCGTTGTTGGGAGGGAGGGGGAGGGAAGTGGACGTGGTTGAGTTGCCCTCCTTCATATCTTGCGGAGAGAAGCAGAGGTGTGCTCCGACGTGCAAACCCGCGGCGCAGCGCGCCTCAGGCTCACTCACTCATTGGCAACGCCTCGAGTGGCGGCACGCCCGCCTCCGTTGGCCACTCATACGCCTTCGGCAACACCGAAGAGAAGGCCCGCCGCCTAAACATGGGCTGCAAGGCGCGCGGGCAGCCCGGCCAACCCTTCTCCCCAAGACCGGCCACGGCTACGTCAAGGCGCATCGCGGTTTCTACCACGACGCGATCTTTGTCAAGCGCAACAACTTCAACCTGCTGCTCCACGAGACGTTCGGCGGCGGCTTCTCGCCCACCGCCGTTCTCAAGCTGCGCCGCCTCGCGCGCAAAGTCGCGCGCGGCAGCGTTGACCGCACGGCCTACTCGCCCAAGTACTCGCTCTCTTTTATGTCCCACCATGCAGAGCGCATCTCTCTCTCTGTTGTGCGAGGCGTGAACCGCGCCATTCGCTCTCACCTGGCGACCCTGTCTGCACGTCTCGCGCGCGCGTGAACAGGGCTCCAGGCCCCAAATGACGTGTGAGTGTTAGAGTTGTTTGGTATTGCTAAAAATCTCTCTCTCAATCGCTGGCACAAACAATTTGAATTTTTCGGCTCGGCTCGCTGCTGTATCGCTCCGCGGCGAGCGGCGTCCGCTCTTCCCTCTCACTGTGGTTTTGTGTGCGGGATGTCTGTATCTGCGTATGTTGTGCACATGTGTTTTGTTTCATAACATCGAAGGCCTCACCCCCCCCTCCCTCCTGACGCCCACCTCTGCCCTTTCTCCGTGACGCCGGGTTGCTCAAGTTTGCCAACGCAAGGTTGATGGCAAATTTCAAATGATCACACGCTCACCACCCCGGCATGGCCGCGCACCGAGCGCTGTCCGCCACCGGGCCGCCGCCAGCCCCAGAGGAGGCAGAGCTCCGGCGAGACGAGCCCATGCAAATGCACGCCAATCGCAGCGGCGCGCCGTGCCGGCAAGGCGACAGACAGACACCACCCCAGCGGCCACCCTTGACGGCCTCGCCCCTGGTGTAGTGGCAGCGGCAAGGGTGGGGGAGGCGCCAAGCCGTCGTGGTTTGAGTCGGCCGGCCGCCTTCCTGCCTTCAATGAGACTGGATCAGACGTCAACCAACCCGGGGTTCGCTCGAGAGTGGCCATACCCAAGCCCTAGACCTAGACTCAACCCCGACCCCGACGCACTACCTCACGTCCTCGCAATCTTAGCGATGCCTCTGAGGTGCCCTCGTTGCATCATCAGGTGCTCGAGCGAGTGGTCGCGCAAGTCGCTTACCGGGGCGAGCTGGTCCTCATCTGCGGCGACGGCTCTCCATACGGGTCGCCCACTGCGCTCAACACCGTCCTGCAGTTCTGGGCGCTGCGATTGCGGCACACCCTCTTCGTCTCGGACTCAGCTGCAAGGCAACCTCCCCGAAGAGCCCTCGGCCGCCTGTGCAGACGTCCCACCTCCCCCCCCCTTCCATTCTTTAGTTGTGCGCGGCTCCGCCGAACAGTGCCGCAGCTCGCATGCGTGTGGAGTTCCTCGATCGGTGCGCTCCAACTGCATGTGAGATCTCAAGCCATCTCCCCACGCTTCCGTTGCCCGTCTCATGTCACAGCGCCATCGCGGCCAAACAACCAAGGGCTGTGCAACCGAAAGCATTGGGACCTGCGCTTCTACTTTTACCACGTCCGCAAGGCGCTCGTCGCTCGCCTGGCGGCCGCCGTTAGATGCTGGGCGCTAGCACTGGTATCCAGCAGCGGCCTCTCCGGGCCTGCCCGAGCGGCAATTGTGCGAGAGGTGCACCTTCTAGACCCAAAATCACGAGCACGGGCGGCTAAAGGCGGTGGAGCTTGGCATCTGGCGCCATCTCAACTCTGTGCCCACAGGCGGTTAACCACGGCGTGAACGTGCTGCAGACCGATACCGACGCCGCCTGGTTCACTGCTACCCTCTTCTCTCGAAGCCAGCCCTAATCCTAACCCTCCCCTCCATCCTCTTTGCCCAGGTTTGAAAACCCCTACCCTCTGCTCAAGCGGCAGCTGGGCGCCGCCAACCTCGTCGTCCAGCCGGACCTGCCATTGCTCAATGCCGGCGTCTTCTACGCGCAGGGCGCGCGGCGTGGCTCCGGCCTCGCGTGGGTGCGATACGGGACCGCTCGCAGCCTCAATCCCGTTCTCTACGCGTCTCTTCAGTGCGACACGTCCACCCTCAGGTGCTTGGGGAGGTTGCCCGGCGCATCGACCTGTTTATGCATCACCCCGAGGTCGCCGGCGGCCACCTGGCCCCACTGCGGTGTTTGTGGTGCCACCGAGCGCCATCCGCCATAGGCGGTCCGCCAATACGTGCCGTGGGCGGTGGCGCCCTACTTTTCCAACTCGGACGAGCAGACCCTCATGAACGATGTGGTGGTCTCGGCGATGACAAACCTGTCCTACTACGTCTTCTCGACGGCGCTGCACGAGTACCGGTACGGCGGGCGGAAGAAGAAGCCCTTCACGTGGGAGCAGACGGCCGAGTACGCGCTCAAGCAGCGCGCGCGCAAGGAGTGGACTGCAAAGGGGCAGGACGGGCCGCTCGGGAGGTGCGAGGGCTGGCCCGCCCTCGGCAAGTGCCTTTACCCGCTGAGGCCGCTTGGGGGGAGCGGTGCAGCGGGCGTCTCGTGGCTGGTCCGGGCACCGGTTGAGCTCTTCAGCCACTACACCGAGCGCTACCTCGATACGAGCGGCCGCTCGATCGGCGATGTCGTCGACAGCGCCGAGGAGAGGGTGGCCGCCTTCGCCGAGGGTCGACCGGCGTCGTATGCCACGCACCGGCGGATGCCAGCTGTAATGGCGCACCTAGCCTCCGTGCGTGCCGGCGCGTGGGCTCGCCGGGCGGTGCTGCGCGCTCGCGGCTGGTGGCACCCAGAGGCGGACGGGCTGGCCGCCGAAACGCTCGGGTGGGGGAGGCGACGGCGGGGCCTCTTGCGCCTGGCAGGCAGCAGCTCTGGCTTGGGCGCCTGCGACCCGCCCTCGAGCATCGAGCTGGACACGCTTGTCGGCGCCCTCCCACCCTGCCGCACCTTCGCCCGGCCGCCTTGCCCGGTCGCCAACGACGCACACCCCCTCCCGCCCGCAGGCAACCTGTTGCTGCTCGGCGCACTAGGCGGGCTCGTGGTCGTAATCCCCGAGACACTTTGCGGATTTGAGCCTCGCGGTCGCGGCTTTGGCCTCGGGGGATTTGGGGCTGACCTGCTGCGCACAGCGCCACGCCGCCTCTCTGGCGGCCTCGAGCAGCGGTGCGCGTGGGGAGGCCCCAAGCCGTGCTGGATGGTTGAGTACATCACAGAGCTTGAGTGGGAGCGGCAAGGCCGACCGGCGGCGATGAGCGCCGCGGAAGTTGCGCTCGAGCCCAGGGTGGCCACAGTGCTGCGCGGCGGGGGCCTCAGCACCCTCGCTTCGTCGCTGAGGGACGTGACTGGCGCGCTTATGGGGAGGCCTCTCCTACCGCCGCCTCCTCTGCAGGCCACACTCGGCGACCCGGAGCGCTGGGCGGACCAGATCGCTTCGCTGGGTGTCACCGCCGGCGTGGACATGCTTGGCCGCGGGGCGGCAACGTTCGTACGCAAGGCAAAGTCGGGGCTCTCGCCGGATGGCGCACCGGACCGTGCTTGCATCGCGTACCTCTTTGCGCAGGCGCACGCCCGGAGCACCAACGGAACCCGCTAGAGGGGGAGCGGTGACCTGTGTGTACCTGCTCCTGTCCACAGGCGGCTAGAACATACACTGTTGCAGCACCGTTACCAACACTCTTCGATACGGTGCATAAACTTTTTAACGATAATAAAACGAACGCGGGAACATGGGAGATCGCCGTGAACACATCGCGTCTCGTGTCGTCGATATTCTTATTCACACCGATATACGAATCACCGTCGTCCCATGAAGAGCATGCTTGACCCACGACTCCCGCGCGAGCGACTGGAGGCACAGTCGTCCAACGCAAAGTGGTACTCTCGCACCTCCTCGCTCGTCCTTGCCAACCGTCCCGACGCGATGCTTTCGAGCATCCCCGTTCGTACCGCTCGCCACTGAAGCAGCTGCTTGCGACAAGGTAGCCGGCGCCTGCCAACTGCCCGGTATGCGCTGGTGAAAGACCGCCGCGCGAGCTCCCTCTGCCAGCCCTGGTCCGGCACGAGCAGCGCGAGCAGCCTCGACAGCTCCACTCGCTGGAGGCGCGCGTCATGACCGTCGTATAGCGCCTTGCGGGAGATTGATCCGATAA